CTGTCAAATTTTTGTTGTAGACTATGTTATAAACTGTCACATTTGTTAATAGAAATGTCATGTTATTGTCCGAGCTGTTTTGTTCCTTGATTTTATCATACTGAAATATTTGTTTTGGTGCATTTTTAGGATCCTTTTTACCGCAATGGATGTTACTTTACTTGTTATGCTCAAGGTGGATGGTATTTGGGATTCTGACTACATGTTCAACAATGTCCACACATATGGTCTTCATGTTAACTACAATGTTCAATATGCTTCTTTTATTGCCTCCTTGAGTGCCATTCTTTCACAGTACAAACCTAATTACAACTTCAGGATTTCTTATATGCGAGATGGCTGCCCTCCTCCTATTACTATAAATGACCAATCTAGTCTAACATTTTATATTTATATTAAGTCTCTTCAACCAGATTTTTCAAAGTATATATCCACTTTGTGTTGAGTTTTATCCTAGTTCATCTTTACCTGCATTTGCTATTGAGGTTGAACCGGTTGAACCCTCTGCTTCTCATTTGTCTGAAAATCTGGTCGTTGCTTCACAGCAACATACGCTTGAGAATGTTGTTGTTTCTTCTTCCCATGTTTCACAACAACTTGCCCCCTCACCTGCACTTTCTTTTGATGCTGGTCCACCATTTGTCCAATCTGAAAATGTTATCTGTGGTGTAAGTTTTGGCCAATCTAAAGATATTGTTTCTTGTGGTAACACTGTGTCTGCAACTGTAGAAAGTGATTTATCTGAAGATAGTGATAGTGATTCATCTGAATTTAGTGATGATATGTCAAGTGGACTTTTTACTGAATCATTTGAGTCCTTCTCATTTCTTCAAAATTTTGAAGTCATCACACAGTCCCATCCTACTTGTCTTCTTCTTCATGCTATTTACAAAAATAAAAAAGACCTTATCCACCATCTGAAGATGTATGCTATCACAAACCACTTCCAATACAGAACTAAGACCTCGAAGAAAATATGTTTGCATGTTAAATGCTTAGATCCTGAATGTCGTTGGAGTGTTCGAGCTGTAAAACTACACGGTGTAGCAATGTTTCAAATGAGGAGGTAACTTCAATTTTCCTTCTTCAATTAACTTCATTGTACATTATATAGTAGTTTATAAGAATGCCATGTTGTGGTGTCATTCTTATACAGGACTGCCAACTTCATATTACTTACTTGTATAAAAATGCCATGTTTTTGTCACTTTAGATTCCGGCCAGAACACATATGCTCTATTGATTACAGACAAGGAAAACATAGACAGGCAACTGCTAGTGTAATAGCAAATCTTATTGCACACAAATACCTTGACGCTTCCAGTAAACCATGCCCACCAAAGCAAATTCGTGAAGATATGCTTATGCAGTATGGAATTTCCATGTCATACAACAAAGCTTGGAAAGCACAGAAGAAAGCAATGCAGCTGTAATTTGGTTCTGATCTTGAATCCTATCAGGTTTTGCCTTTTATGGCTCATGTGCTGGACAAGGCGAATCCTGGCTCTATGTTTGATCTAGTCACAGGGCATGATGATGCATTTTGTACATTTTTATGTCATTTAGTGCATGGATAAATGCTTGGTCCTACTGCATACCTGTTCTTATATTGGATGGTTCTTTCCTGAAGGCTTACTATAAAGGCACTCTTCTGACAGCTTGTTGCCAAGATGCCAATGATCACATCGTTCCTATTGCATTTGGAATTTGTGCTTCTGAAACGAAATCTTCCTGGAAATGGTTTTTATCCAAAGTCTGCCAGTCCATAAAGTACAGACATGACTTGTATGTAGTATCTGATAGGCATAAAGGACTTATAAAGGCTGTTTCTGAAATCTTGCCACATGCTAGCCACGGTTTTTGTGTTGCTCATCTGCGACGTAACATGACACCAAAATTCAAAGGTTCTGCAGCTGGATTGGGATGGAAGTTTAAAGCTGCCTATATGGCAACAACTCTTAAAGAGTATGAGGACTACTTATCGATGTTGGATTCTGAAGATCCCCGGATAAGGACATGGCTAGAGAAACTAGGTCCTAACACATGGTCAAAAGTAATGTCTGGGCCAAAGAGATATAATATTATGACATCCAATTGTGCTGAATCTATGAACAATGTCATTGTCTGTGCAAGAGAATATTTAGTATCTAAACTTGTTGACTTCTTGCGTGAAAGGATGCAGCAATGGTTCACAGAGAGGAAAGAAAAAGCTGAGAAAACAAGTACTATACTCACACGGAAGTGTGAAAAACGTCTTTTAGCTTTGCAAGCTGAAGCTACACGCATGAGGGTATGTCAAAGCTGATTCTTTAACCATAAGTCAGTTCTCAGTTTTTTATGTGCTTATATAATTCCAGTTTGGTCCCATAATTTAGTTCTCAGTTTTTTATGTGCTTATGTAATTCCAGTTTGGTTATCATTATGCCATTTGGTTCTAGAATCTATCAGTTTTTTATTCCACTTTGGTTATCATTATGTCATTTGGTTCTATTATCTGTCAGTGTTTTATTCATATTTTGTGTATTTCCTAGGTAAAACCATCATGTGCATATGAATTTCAAGTTGTTGATAGCAGATGCACGTCCTTTGTGGTCAATCTCAACTCTAGGAGTTGTATTTGCGGTCACTTTCAACTAGATCAGTTCGTTTGTGTTCATGCGGTTGCTGCAATTGCTATACGCCCACATCTGTCATGCTATACTTACATTTCTCCTTATTACACTAGAGATGTTTGGTTTGCTACATGGTCTGGTATTATGCATCCTATTGCTGATCGAAACAGTTGGTCCATTCCTGCTACTATTAAAAACCAACGATGCAAGCCACCAACTTGTATGAAGCGCCCTCTTGGTCGCCCGAAGAAATCCAGAATTCCATCCATTGGAGAATATAGAGGTTCAAAAAGACAAAGATGTTCTAGATGTCATGTGGTTGGGCATAATAAGAAAACTTGTAGGAATCCCATTCCAATCAATACCCAGTGATGTCATGGCTACTTCATTCTATTTATTCTTCTGTTATTTTGTACTTGTAACTACTCTGTTTGGACTTGGTTATCATTTCCTTGAATGTCATTTAAGTGTTTTGTGATTTACCCATTCTTGGCATTTAAGAGTTTATTACTTTTGCTTTAGCCAACTGCTTTGCCCAAAATGTCATTTCAATGATGTAATGTCATTTTGTTTATAAGTAAATGACATATGTCAGATGTCATGACATTTGGTTTTCCAAAATTTGTCATGTTACTTGTCACTTTTTTGTTTTTTATTTGCTGCTTGTAAATCAAATCCAATGCTAGTATCGATCTATATGTAAATCATGTTGCATGTACATATAAAAAATTCTCTATATAAACTATCCACATTTTAAACATAATTCAATAAAATATATATCACTTTGTCATCTCATCGTGGCTGAAGCACATTTTATCCATTCAAAACTGGACATAACTTATTTTTCTTAAAAAGTCAAATACCATGTTTAATGTCTTTTTATTTGGCCATTCTTAGATCTGTTGTTTATTACTTGTGGGTTAATTTATGTCTTATAAGTATTAAAACTTTGTGAAATTAGTTTAGTATGTCTAAGTAGCTTACTTTGGCCAAAATGGCATGTCAACATTGTGATATCATTTTGTTTATAGCTAAATGACATATTTCAAACTCTACGTCATTTTGATTTCTACAAACTGTCATCTAAATGTCATTTCTGTGATTGCCATTTTGCATGTTAATCATATGCAATCCAACTGGCAAAGGATTATCTTCAGTTAGTAACAATCCATGCTTACATAAATATAAGTAGCATGTTGAATGCATTAACACAAGGCATCCACAATGTAAAAATCCACATGGCATTTTTTGAACCTAATTCAATAAAATGCATTTTTACAACCTCAATGAATGCAATCTCAATAAAATGTATTCTCAGAAATGACATGTGATAGTGTCTAAAGCATATTTCATACATTCAAAACACAATGAAAGTTGTGTTAACCAAGTTTTCCAAAACAAATGAAAGTGTAGATGTCATGAAATGATGTTAAAAGTACTAGTAAATATAACATAGTCTTCCAAAACAAACATAATGTTTCATTCTACAATCCCATTTCTTCATAGCTTCATTTCATTCTCTCTCTCGCTGTCTCCTCTCGCTATATAGCAGCAGTTCAGTTGCCATTTTTCCCCTAAACAAGGGTATTGCTTCAGGATATATGCCGTCCATTTCCATCCCCACCATTAGAAATCCTGCCATCTTGAGCATGAAAATTCCACAGTTTCCCCTGATGCTTAACAACAAAAGTTAAAAGAACTTTTTAAAATAAAATAGTACACTATTATACAATTTGTTTAATCAAATTTATATCTTCTTACCCATCATCTTGTTGTGGACATCCTTCTATAGGCTCGACTGCCAAAAACCTTTCACCCATAGGTTCCTCACCCATCTGTTCGTACACTTTGTGATAGTCCATTATTCTGGGCGGGAGGGCTGTTATGCTTCCGAAATAGGACCTAATATCCCTAAGTGAATCCCCTCTTCTGGCATTGGAATTATAAACTCTTATCTTTCTTTGCTTGATATCTAGGACTAACAAAACCCAATGATTGCCAGTATTTAGGGGGATGTACACATAGTCTGCCTTGCTCCAGTGTAGGCTGAAGTTGTTAGCACCTATTATGTCACGAACAATGTTTTCTTCTTCTGCTGACTTGTGGTATGTGCAGTGCCCCTTTGATATATTGTCAAGCTCTCTCTTCAGTATTTGCAAGAAAAAAGGCCCAGTTGTGGTGTACTTCTGTGCCAGTTTGTAATGCACCCTTTTCATGCCCAAATAGTACATTACTACTTCAACATGCTGTAAAAAATAAAATACACATTTATCAATTACAAATTAAGTAAACTGCCTATTAATGACAATCTATACAAACACACATGTATATAAATGTACACTTGAGAATTAGACTGACAAATATAATATATAACATTTTTGCATGTACCTTGTCAGTGATCCATTCATGATTCATAAACATGTCATACAACCATGTTTTTTATTCAACTTTAATACTGTCTAGCAAGAACGGCTTGTGAATCATTTTGTCTTCATCCATTGTGTACCTTCTGGGATTTTTGCTTTTTTGAAACTTCTTCAACAATCCAACTTTGAGGTATTCTCTCACCCTCTCTATTTCATGATCTGGTGGGCTCTCTGTTGGATCTTCTGTGAAAGGTCCAACTACTTCCTTGAGTGGAGGCAGAAATTCATCGTCAGCTCTTTTCTTACCCTTTTCTCTTTTCCTCCTCTTTGCTGAATGCTCAGATGGAGTGTACTTCACTGGTGACCTAACAAAACGCTTTTGTTTGGGAAGATCCTCCTATGACATTATAATGACACAAGATCACATAAATTACACAAGATGACAGTTTGTATAAAACAAAATGACATTAACTTTGAAATATGTCATTTATCGATTAACAAAATGACATCACAATGTTGACATGCCATTTTGGCCAAACTAAAGTAATTAGACAGACTAAACAAATTGGAAAAACTTGTAATACTTATAAGAATAGTACAAAATATCTCTACAAAATAACGTGTATTAATACACTTAATGTCATAGTACAAAATAAAAATAAAAATATAGGCATTATAATCAATTTTTAAACTATTTTCATGAACATATAGGTCATAAACATTGCCACTTAAATGTCATTTTCAACATGTGAAAAGGTCACTTGAATGTCATTTTACTGAGTATTTGGTATTTACCTGGTCAGGCTTTACTATAATTGCTCTGCATGGATTAGAAGAATAGCTCTCAAAAGCCTTTTTGCCACTTCATCTGCACTCTTGCACATCTCTGGGATAAACTGACTATTGTCATGTGACCCCATACCCCAACCAGATTCAGCAGTGTCATTTTTATCTTCTTGTGCAGATAGTCCCTCCTCTTGCATTTTCACGGTGTCTTTTTTTTCTCTCACTACCTTGAGACTGAGTCAATATGTTAAACGTAGGCATGTCACAAGCTTCTTGTTCTTCTTCAGTGTTCTTCTCTTGCATTTCTTTTTCATTTTTGTCTTCAGGAACACCACCAGCATTCTCAGTCTCTTCTTTAGAGTCCTCAGTCTCTGCATTACCTTCCTTATTCACACCTGAATGGTCACTCTCAACATTTGCATCCTCTTTCTCTATACCAGCATCCTCATTCTCTACAACAGCATCCTTGTTGGTTAGATTCTCACCCTCATTCTGTACAACATCATCCTCAGTCTCCTCAGGCATATCAGCAACATCATCATCCTTCATCTCATGCTCCTCATCATTGTCAGAATCTTGCCCTGTCATGGCAAACCCATCATCTTCTTTTCCATTAACATTTTCTTCTTCTTCTTCTTCTTCTTCTTCTTCTTCATTACTTTCTTCTTCATCCATATCACCCTTTACACTTGCTATTGTAGGCTCACTCTTCTCAACACCCTTTGACATTTTGTGGAGCATCAGAATGACATCTTTAATAAGAGCGTATTGCTTTTGGTGATTCTTCTTAATATTTTTCATTTCTGCCACTAATCTGGTAGTCTCTTTGGCTTGTTTTCTCATGCTTTTTTCAGACTCTTGCTGTCTTTGCTCATGAAAACTACAAATTTCTCTCCATCACGTCCACCGTCAGTAGAATCATCACTCTCAGTCTCTTCTCCTTCAGTACTCTCTTGCTCACTTGAGTCATCATCACTCTCTTGCTCCACCCTAGCCTGCTTTCTTCTTTTAGAAGGTCCTTCTTGAGATTTGATTGCTTTACCAGTTCCCTTCCTTCCTTTTGTTGTTTTTCCTTTGCCTGCTCTGGGCTGCATCACCTTTTCCTTTCCTTTTGCTACAATAGTTTTTGGCTATTCAGCATCAACTCGGCCAACATTGTTGATGACAAGGTGCATCACCTCCTCATTTATTTCATTTCCTTCTTCTATCATAGCAATCTCATCTCCAGTTGGTACAATCCGCGTCCATTCAAACTAAACCAATAGACTATGTTAGTAAACAATGTGTGAACATATACATTTAAAAATTTATATACGAATCAATAAAATACCTTATCATTCTTGAATATAATTTCAGAAAGCACCTCTAGTGTAGGTTTTTTTTTTTAAATTCCCACTTTAGAGTCCTTGGAATGATGTGTTCTGTCCCATTCATGACCTTGCACAAACCAGCCTTTGCTAAACCAGGAAATGTTTCAAATGCCCACCACTGGAATGCCACCATGAAGCCAGGGAATGTCACTCGATCTCCTTTTCCTTTATCTAGTGCCTCACAACTCTGCTTCACCTTGTTAACTAAATCTTCCCAAACGTCATCACCCCATGGATAAGCATTGAATGCATCCAAATCATTAACTAGGTTTATGTAGTATGCCTTCATTGGTCTAGCACTTTGATTGCCAAACAAGCAATGTGACAGTATGTATAGCAGTGCCAGTTTCACTCCATCCTTTGTCAGCCTGCTCTCATCAGTGCTCTTGTAACTCTTTAATGCATTCTGAATATCTGCACGAGTCACAGTTGTCTTGGCTCCTAAATAATTTGTCCATATATCTCCTTGAAGCTCCTTTGAAATATTTGGCTTCACAGCTCCAAACTTTAAAGCACACATTATTGCCAAATCATGCTTCTGAAAACTAATGACATTGTCTTTAATGTGAAACCTGATGACACTGTTATCTGTGTTTCCATTAACTTCAGTCACAAAGTTTCCAATCAATCCCAAAAGCAATTGTCCACTAAGCCAAGGGATGTCTTCTATTCTTAACATCCAACCAAAGACAGTATTGTTAAACTCTGTCAATTCCTCTCTGCTTAGATATGTCCTTATTTTCCTAAGAACCTCAGTAATATTGCAGTAGGAGTTGACACGCAAGTCTTCCAACATCACCAACACTGATTTCTTAAATGCTCTTATTATTGTCTGTCAAGTTTACACAAATATAAGCATTTTAATCACCTTGTACAAAATGACTAATAGAAATCACACTGTAATACAAAATGCCACCAAATGACCTGATAAAAAACTGACTAAACTGTCATTAGTGAATCAGTTCTTGATTTATCAGTCAATGTGATTCTATTTAGGCTTCAACCTAACATATATGCATACAATGTCACTATTTATGGCAGAATGTCATGATAGTGTGCATATAAGGTTACAATGCCACTATAAAACCACATATTCATGGAATGTCAATTTCAGACAAAATGCCACCAAATCACCTCATAAAAACTGACTAAACTGTCATTAGTGCACCGGTTCTCAATTTCTCTGTGATTCTATTTTGGTTTCAACCTAACATATATGCATACAATGTCACTATTTATGGCAGAATGTCATGATAGTGTGCATATAAGGTTACAATGCCACTATATAACCACATATTTATGGAATGTCAATTTCAGACAAAATGCCACCAAATTACCTCATAAAAACTGACAATACAGTCATTAGTGCACCAGTTCTCAATTTCTCAGTCAATGTGATTCTATTTTGGTTTCAACCTAACATATATGCATACAATGTCACTATTTATGGCAGAATGCCATGATAGTGTGCCTATAAGGTTGCAATGCCACTATAAAACCACATATTCATGGAATGTCAATTTCATGCAAAATGCCACCAAATGATCTCATAAAAACCGACTAAACTGTCATTAGTGCAGCAGTTCTCAATTTCTCAATCAATGTGATGCTATTTTGGTTTCAACCTAACGGATGTGCATACAATGTCACTATTTATGGCTGAATGTCATGATAGTGTGCCTATAAGGTTACAATGCCACTATATAACCACATATTCATGGAATGTCAATTTCATGCAAAATGCCACCAAATGACCTCATAAAAACTGACTAAACTGTCATTAGTGCATCATTTCTCAATTTCTCAGTCAATGTGATGCTATTTTGGTGTCAACCTAACGAATGTGCATACAATGTCACTATTTATGGCAAAATGTCATGATAGTGTGCCTATAAGGTTGCAATGCCACTATAAAACCACATATTCATGGAATGTCAATTTGAAGCAAAATGCTACCAAATGATTTAATAAAAACTCAGTAAACTGTCACTATATAACAACAATATCATGTTATCAGATGTTACTAAACATGGCATTTACTTTACTCCAAATGCAATAGTATTCATCATAAGAGATTTGTTTCGAACTCCTATTTTCATTCATCAAGTTTGCTTCGAACTCCTTTAACTGCCAAACGACATTCAATTTCAGGCATTCTTATAAGAAAGGAGTACATACCATTTCGGAATTGATTCTGATGCAAACTGTATTTGACAAATCCAACGGTTTCTCCTCCATGGTTTCGTCCTTCAACCGTGCTCAACCAAATGACTCTCCTCAAAAAACTTACTCTCCAGAACGGTTTTTAAAGTGATTTTTGAATTGTAATGCAGTTAGCGTATACTGATTGGCTCTTTTATCGCAACCTCTCAAACTGTAAGGCTTCCGATAAAATTCATTTAATTTTTGGAATCTTTTTTCCGGCGGCAATGATGGTGGAAACTTGGAAACCGGGAATTGCCGTAATGGGAGATGGTTAACCGTGAATGAGCTCAGAGTACATGTATCGGTTAGGAAGGTCATTTTTGGCATTTATGGCATAATTAGTCCTACGCGCTTAAGTGGAAACGTGGGTGTCCTATTTTTGCAATTTCTATAAGTTTTAGTCCTATTTGTCTAATTTCCATCATAATTATTGATAGTAAATTCACATAATTGATGTGTAATAATAAAAGTAAGGATTTATAAATTTAATAAAAAAAAACCGTGTTGGGTGAATATATTGACGGTTCAGGGTTGCAGGAAAAAATGGTTTGACTGAAAAATACGTATAAACAGCTGGGAAATTTGATTTAGCCTAAGGAAAAAGAGTAAAAAACAATGGATCCGGCCGATAAACGTTAATAGCAGGGTGTATATGACCTTGTTAATTGATTGTTTGGTTAGATCGATTGTTTTTTTAGAGTAGATGGGTGTATATGACCTTTTTAATAGTACCAGGGTTTAAGTGATCGATTTGCAATTGAAGAAGGGTGTATTAGACTATGGATGAAGAAGCCAAAAGCTTAGCAACGGAAGAGTAATGGGGTGTTTGGAACTGATTCGTCTTCTACTTCTTTTTTAAAGTAGAAGCAGAATCAGAATCATTTTTCAGAAGCTGGTCTCCCCCAGAAGTACTTATGCACTTTTACCCAAACACTCCAACTTCTGTTTCTGCTCTCTGAAGAAGCAGAAGCAGTTTTAAAAATTAGATCCAAACACCCTCTAACTACACTATTTGAAACCATAATCGAAACAAAGGTATGCTACTGTATTACATATGCTTCATTGATGGCGTGTGTATATATAGGTGGAAGGTTATGAGTATATGACTTGAATGCACATTGTCTTTTGCAAAATGGGTGGTTGTGAAAATTTATCCGAAGTGCATATGTTTGGTAAAAGCATTTACTTTAACATACTGGTTATCTCCTAAGATAATTGTTACACTTGTCCTTTTATTGTTAATGGTTAATTGGTTATTCATTTATTTTGAAATAGATAAGGGGTTTGTCCAAAAATAATACTAAAAATAATGCTTTGGACAAAAATAAGACCACTTTTAAAAAATGCCAAAATTGAGACTACTACCAGTGACAATTACCAAACGCACTAATGACCAACCCGTTCAGTTACCAATCCGACCAATGACAATAACCGATTCAACCAGTGACCATGACCAATTTGACCAGTGATCATGACCAATCTGATCCGTGACCATGATTAATCCGACCAATGACAAAATCGCACATGACCAATTTGACCAATGATCATGACCAATCCGATCTGTGACCATGACTAATCTGACAAATGACAAACTCGCCCATGACCAAATACCTGACAAATAACCATGATCAGTCCGACCAATGACAAACTCGCCCGTGACCAATTATCCGACCAACAATCATGACCAATCCGGTCAATGACCAATTACCCAATCAGCCCCCACCACTCCACAACCACTCCACAACCTTGCACACAGCCCTGCACCGCCCCACCAACCCTGCCATATACCCGTGTACATCCACAAACTTCCCTTTCCAGACATCGGCTATGTCAATTCACAGACCTTGTCGCCGCCCAAGCTTAAACGTACAACTACACCACCATCCACCTAAGCTAGCAACCCAGCCAACAGTGAAATTGACCCCAAATCGGACTAAGATCTCAAATTGGTGAAGAACAAATTGAACATGTTCGTTGTCCCAATCCATCACACCATGGCTCGCCGTCTGCAACAAATCGAGCAACGACCTGAAAACCTAGCCGCCATGG